CTCGGCTCGTAGATAATTGTGTATTCACTCAGCTCAACTGCCCACTTGACCAATCTCCCCGACACGGATGGTCGACCCAGCGTTTCTCCCAATGGCATATTCGTCCGGACTTTCACCCTATGTCCCAAGAAGTATGGTCTCAGCTTTCTTACGGTGACAACCACCGCCAAGGCCCCTTTTTCAATCTCTGAATACCTCATCTCTGGCCCTTGCATCACTTTACTCACGTAATAGATCGGAAATTGGGCTGTTCCTTCCTCCCGCAATAACACCGAGCTCACTGCCGTCTCCCCAATGGACACATATAACACCAAGTCCTCCCCTTGCACTGGTTTTGCCAATAATGGTAGGTCGACCAACACCTTCTGCAACTCCTCGAATGCTTTCTGGGCTTCTTCTGTCCATTGGAATTTTGAGCTTTTCCTGAGCGTCTTAAATAGGGGCCCACTTTTCTCGGCTACCTTAGAAATAAAGCGGCTCAGGCCTGCTATTTGACCAGTTAGGATCTGTACTTCCTTCACCTTCGTGGGGGGCTACATCTCGATCACTGCTCTTACTTTCTCCGGGTTGACCTCGATTCCCCTCTTCGTGACCATGTAGCCCAAAAACTTCCCAGATTTGACCCCAAATGAGCACTTAGCGGGATTCAGCTTCATCCCATACTTCCGGAGGGTCATGAATGTTTCTTTCAAGTCGTTTACATGGTCAATTTCCTCTTTGCTCTTTACCAGCATATCATCTACATATACCTCCATGTTCCTTCCCAGCTGATCCTTAAAAATTTTATCCACCAACCTCTGATATGTCGCCCCTGCATTCTTTAGACCGAATGGCATAACCACATAGCAGTATGTCCCACGGCTTGTTACAAAGCTGACCCTTTTCCAATCATCTCGGGCCAGCGGGATCTGATGATAACCCTGGGATGCGTCCATCAAACTGAGTAGCTCACACCCGGCTGTGGAGTCGACCAGCTGGTCGATCTTAGGCAGCGGGTATAAATCCTTCGGGCATGCCTTGTTCAAATCTCGAAAATCTATGCACATCCGCCATTTCCCCTCTGACTTTGAGACCATAACCGTTTTCGATAGCCACTCTGGGAACTGGATCTCCTTTATGTGACCTGCCACCAAGAGTTTATCTACCTCCACCTTGATTACTTTATCCATTTCTGCCCCGTGGTGTCTCCTTTTTTGCTTCACCGGTCTTACAGTGAGGTCGATGTTCAACCGGTGCTCAATAACTTCGGCCTTGATGCCAGTCAACTCCTCCGTCGAGTATGCAAACACATCTGCTGTAATACCCCGTTTGAATAAGGATTATTTGAGATTTTTACTTATTATTATTATTATTATTATTATTATTATTATTATTATTATTATTATTATTATTATTATTATTATTATTATTATTATTATCTAATGCCAAATTGCTAATTATTTGTCTAAGTGCTTGATATTTGTAATTAAATATTATTGCTATTTATATTAAATGTCTAGATGCCTAATTGCTATTTATCGAATAAATTGATTGTTATTATCATTAGTATTAATATTATTGTTAAATGTCCATTTGTCTAATTGATATCAATTGTTGGCATTATTATATTATTTATTAGCATTATTTAAATTAATTGTCTATATTTTATTAGTGCTCGACAATTCTCGATTAGACTTATATTAATTAATTAGACGCTCTTGTCTAGTTGATTTAATGAGTCGTGAAATTATATTTATTATTCCTCGTCAATCGAATTGCCCGATATTCCTAGGACATAATTCTCGGCTCAATTGGAATCTAATTCCAGCTCGTTTGCTAAATTAATTACATTGGTCCATTGTTAGTTATTTATTATGGCCCAAATGTTTTTTTTAGTCTTGGCCCAAGTCCTCTATATTATAGTTGGCCCAACAAGGATTAAAATCACACGGATAATTCTCCTCCTTCACGAAGAGACCAAGTCATCGTCGTTCAAAATTATGTTGCGACATTTCGGCCAGATACTCCTCCATCGATCGCACGTCCCGCATCTCTCTCTTTCTCGTACTTATAACAGATGGAGGCCCTTTTTTTTCTCTTGGTGAAAATTTGCAGAAACTCTCTCTCCCTCATTGCCAGCGTAAAAAAAAATAAATAAATAAATAAAATAAAATAAAAATAAATCGAACCTGCAACTTCTGCCGGCGACGTGAGCTCCTCTTTCTCACGCCATCATTATCCCGTCGCTGCTCTCCCTCGCAAGACCATAACCCCGACCTCCCTGCGCCAAATTTCCCGTCGCAAGCAACCGAGAACTGCGGCGTCCGAGAAGAGCAGGAATTCTTCCGGCGTCGTGAACCTTCAGCCAGCGACCTTCGAGCAGCACCTTCTTCCAGCGATCAGCAACAGAGCTTCTCTCGCCATCATCATTCCCGTCCAGCAGCCCTCAGAACCGTGTTGGAAGGTTCCGAGTCCCGAAGCCGTTCGTCCGACCCGCTGTCGGGCCCGTTTCCCATTCGATAACTCGTAGTTTCCTGAAGTCGGGTAATTTATTCGAATCCTCTCGTTATTACGGTCGTTCTCATATATCGCATGATAGATAAGTATATCATACGTGCTACCGAAACCTTGTTTGAAATCGGATTTTTGTCGGTTCGTATGTTTGTTGGATTGGGTTCGTGAATTATTCGTGGAATCTTTGGAACTCTAGTTCGTATATTCGAGTCTCTTTGTTGTTGTTGTGATTGAATCGTGTTGTGTCGGAGACTCGTTGTATTTTTCCGGGTCGTGTCATTCGTATTCGAGTCGTTCGAGCCTTGTATGTCGTTTTGTTTATTCGTTCAAACACCCAGTTTTTTTACAAGTATTTCGAACTCTGAAAAATGTGTTAAATTCGATAATGTTAAACGCATGCAGTGAGTTCTGCCATCTAAATTTGTCAATGAAATTATTGTGGCAGATAATCTGTTTGCGATCAGTTTTCAGTTTCAGTATGTATTCAGTCCAGAACTTTTGTGTAGTTTAATAAATAGTGATTGCATTTGAATTCACAACCATGCGTTTGGTGCACTGGTGTTCAACACTTGTTGCTCTGCGCGAGGTCAGGGTTTCGAAACCTCTCCTTGATTTACCCATTCTTTATTTTGCCATTTTCCAGCCAAATTCCTGTAACCCTTTCTGGCCCGTATTTAGGCCCGCGAGGCCCGATCCCTCTCACAGCTGAAGCCCGCGCGAGACCTGCTCCAACCCGCAGATCTGCAGCCCTTTGATTGGCCCAAGTAGAGCATATTGGGCCCAAATACTTTGGCATTTCGGCCCAGTTTTATGATAGCAGCACAATTTGGTTTTTACCCAATTTTTGTGTTCCGGAGTCTGTTTTTCGTACCATTTTCAATTTTAAAAATAATTATAAATGAGAAATATTGAAAAAAAATTTTAAGTCCCGAGACTCCCATTTTGGTTATCCAAGTCCTATTTTAAAAAATGAGAGAGTTCCAAGTCCACGAAAATTCTGATTTAAAAACCCTTAAGTCTTAATTTTTATTAAGTACGGGATTTATATTAAATTCGAGTAGTGAGATAGGTTATTGATATTATCTCGCTTAAATGTAGGTATTTGAGGAGTCAAGCCTCGACCTACGTACTTGATTTTGTGTGCAATATTCTACCGCGATTTCCAAGTGGGTTTTATTTGAAAATTTGCTATGCCGTAAATAACTTATTTGTTGTTGGGTTGGTATGATTAATGCATGCTTGTAAATTGGTGTAACCTTCGATGTGAGCTGTATGTCCTCCGAACGGTTGTCCCCGTCGATGTGAGCTGTATGTCCTTCGACGGTGCCTTGTGAGGCAATCTCCCTAAGTCCTAATGAAAGGCAATACCGTTGAGAGTTGTATGTCCTTCGGTATGCACTCCCATTGTTGAGAGCTGTATGTCCTTCAATGGCTAATGATAGATGTGCACATGAGTGAGATTTATTGATGTGTTGATTGGAGATGTGACATGATGAATGGATTTATGATCATGTTGTGACCATACCCTTGTTATATTATGTTGTTATTTACGTGCATAGTGGTGAGCACTATGGATTCCTTTTGTGCTCATCCCCACCTGCTCTTCATGGATGCAAGTCAGTAATGGCGAGCACGACGGAGGGAAGCGAGTGGTGGTCATCTCATGATTTATTTCCACTGTTAAATTGCTTAGTATAGTTTATGCATTTATGAATTATGATTGAGTACCGGATTGTGATAGGGAGTGTACTCCCTGGTATTATTGATTTGAGAAACCAGTGTTGGGAGTTACTGTTATTTATGAACCTGGTTGGGTGTTGACATGATGATTGAACCCGTACCGGAGTATGGTTTATGATATTGTTGGAAAATGATTGAAAATGAGTAGCGCCGCCATGTGTTTTGAAATAAATTTATGATATTGTTGGAAAATGTTTGAAAATGAGTAGCGTCGCCATGTGTTTTGAAATAAATTTTGAAAAATTTATTCTGAATTTTGGCAAATAAAAGTGGGGCGTTACATCCGCAAAATCTCTTACCTCCTTAATTAGCCTCGATTTCACTGGCTCCTCCAATTCCTTCCCGATCCGAAATTTCCTCTCTTCGCACCCCTCGACCATTTGTATCTCCTCCACTTCGCCACCCGTATGTATTTCTACATTCTCCTTCCCCTTCTCTGACTTATGTCTTTCCTCCTTCGACCTCGACCCTCCCGGTCGATTAACTTCCTCCCCCTTAGGGTGCATCTGCCTCCTTGCTAACTGTTTGTTGTTGCTCACAGTGGTCTTGTAGCAGCTTCTCGAGGTAAGTTGATCCCCAACGATCTCACCGACGTTTTTGCCCACCGGATATTTGATCGTCATGTGGTACGTGGATACGACCACCTGGAACGCGTTTAGGCTCGTTCTCCCCATTATGATGTTGTAGGATGATTCAGCTCCTACGACGACAAAATTTCACCATTCGAACCTTCCGGGTCGCTCCCTTTCCCAGTGCTACAGATAGACTCACTTCTCCCATTGGCATAACCTCCCCGCCGTTAGAGCCATACAAGGCCGTAGCCACCGGCTTCAGCTCCACATTCAACTCCCGATTGATTTGCACAAAGCAATCATAAAACATGACATCGACCGAACTCACTGTGTCTATAAACACCCTTTTCACATCAAAACCTGCAACTTCAGCCGTAATTACCAAGGCATCACTGTGAGGTACCACCACCCCTGCTGCATCCTCTGCTCGAAAACTGATTTCTGGTACTCGGGCCGTGATACCCACCTCCTCCCTTTTCCTTTTCATTGCTCGAACATGGCCTCTCCTTGCATTATTCGAGTCTCCGTTCGTCGGTCCTCCTGAAATCATATATATCGTGCCTCTCTTCACTTGGCCTCCATCTCCTTCTCTTTCCCGCTCCCTACTTCCTCGCCTCCTTTTCCCTTCATCTATTTTTCGACCATCTCGACCACCTCGCGCATCCTCATCATCATCCTCCTCGCTCTTCTCCTCCGAGTCCTCCCGACACCTTCTCTTCTCCTTCCTCCTCCCCTTATCCTGATAAACAAACTCCTTGAGATGCCCTGCTCGAATAAGGCGCTCAATCTCGTCCTTGAGATGCCGACAATCCTCAGTAGTATGGCCATAGTCTTTGTGGAAGCGGCAATATCTCCTCGACTTCGGTTGGGTTGGCCCTTCGAACCTCGACCTTGGCCACGTCACATCTTTCCCATCTATCCCTTTCTCCATGGCCATCAAGACCTCGGCTACCTTCGCGTTCAATGAGGTGTAATCATGGAATCTTTTCCCTCCAGAGATAGGTCGGTCCTTCCATCTCTCCTCTCGTCCCCGATCCTGCTTAGCTCGCCCCTCTCTCCTGGGCGAGGCTCTCCTTTTAGGCGAAACTGCTTTCTCCTTCCTCGACTCCCCTCGACCTAACTCCTCTAGCTTGGCAAACTCTGCCTCGGTCTCCTCAAGATTAATATATTTCTTACACCTCCTCAACACCTCATCATACGTATGAGCAGGAGTCTTAGCCAGAGAAGTCCGACACGGTCCTGCCCGCAAACTCCTAATCAACCTCCCGCCTTGACCTCATCGACCGCCGACGGGATCTCCAAGCAAGCCTGAGTGTATCGAGCAACATATTTACGCAGTGACTCCTTCTCGCCTTGTCTCATCGCCATCAGTGTCAAATACGTTTTCTTCTGAGCCACCGCGCTCGAATATTGATTTGTCAACTTCTTCGCAATATCCTCGAAGTCCACAATCGAGCCTGGGGGGAGCTGTTGGAACCAGTCGAGCGCCCCTCCCCTAAGGGTCGATAAGGCTGCCTTGCAACTAACGGGATCAGTATATCCATGTAACACAGCCATATTTTTGAATGTCCTCACGTGTCTCGACGGGTTAGAAGTCCCATCAAACACCAAGGTTGTATCCTTGTAATTATTTGGAAAGGGTGTTGCTAGTATGTCCGCCGAGAACGGGTGTCCTCGAGCGCGTCTCTCCGCTCGACCATCCACCTTAGCCTGCAATTGGCGCAGCTGTTCCGCCATTCTCTCCATCTCCCGGTCATGTGGGGGCCGCCTCCACCATAGCTGGATTCATCCTCCTCCGCATTTTGGCGTGACCCTGCAACAGTGTTCAGCATCGCCGTAGCCCGAGAGAGACTGTTTGTGACTTGCTGCACCGTCTGCGCAGCTGCCTCCGCCACCATTTGTTGCATCTCCTGCCTGGTCATTACCACCTGCTGGACGGGGACTTGCACCGTTGCCTGTGGTGGTGCCCCTCCTTGTCCCGCTGCTCCCCCTGGTTGCGCCGTCGCTCCTCCTAGAGGCGCTGCCGTTGGGTTTTGTGGCGGCGGTGGTGGCATCGCCGCCGCATCCGCTGCGCGAATCTCCTGGGCACGGTTGGAGTCGGCATCTCCTCCGGGAATCACTGTCGTCGCTCCTACACCTTGAAGAACCAGCGTAGGAGTGACCGACGTCTGCGATGGGCCAGAAAAACCCATAGGAGGGCCTTGTCCGAACGGCCTGCTCGTCGTCCAAGCGTCGTCGAACGTCGATTGCAAGTTTTTGGGGATTCCGTCCGCCATAGCTGAGCTTCAAACACAACTTTCTAAACGAAAGTCCCACAGACGGCGCCAAATGGTAACACAAAACTTCCCGACCGGCTGGAACTTGAATAATCGCCTTCCTTCTCGCCAGTTGAACGTCGTGCACCTACAAAGAACTCTCACACCGGAGGGGTTTTCCGGTGAAGAGCCTCCGAAGCTTAAGTCAGTGTATGTTCAATCAATTCTCAAGAGTAAGCAATAGAATGATCGTGTTGAAGAAGAAAAGCTCACCCCCTTTATATAGGGGTGAGATACCTGACCTAGGACTTGCCCGGATTTGATGAGCTGTCTGCCCTAACTGCCCGTCCGTACACACCATACCTGTGTGTCAGAGGTAGCCGTCGCCACTATCGTCTGCACCAATCCTCTTTGGACGCGTGTCCTCCTGCACATGGGGTAGGCTGTTAGAGGTGGTTATCGCTATCCACCACTGCCTTCTCGACGCGTGTCCCCCTGCACAAGGGGTAAATATTCTCCTGGAATTCTGTTAGAGGCTCTCTCACGCGCCTATGGCTAGGCCGATCCGCGTGGTGTTAAGTCCTCGAAGTGGCCGACCTGTTGAGGTCGAATAGGTTGCCCGATCATGTATCTGGTCGAGCGACGGGTTGCTCGATCGTCTTTCGGATCGTGCGACGGACTGGTCGACCACCTGCTTGGTCGACTATCTGAATGATCGATCCTCCCGCTTCTTGTCTTGGTTTCTTCTTAGTTTGACCCTCCCGACCGGCTGAGCCGACCGGTTTAGCCTCGTGTATATAATATCCCATATCATCAATTTAGCAGAAGAATTTCTTAAGAAGCAATAGAAGAATTTAATAAAATGGATAGGAAAGATATAAATCTTGAACTAACTGAACTGTTTAGAAAAGAAATCAAAGAGATAGATTATTTAATAGAAAAATCAATTCAATATAAATATATAGAAAGAAATGAACAAAAATTAAAACAACTAGATTATGATATACAACGACATAAACAAAAATCTAAGAAATTACATAAAATAGGACCGCCTAAAACGATAATATAAAAATGGTATCAGAGCTAGACAACAAGCTAAAATAAAATGAGTACAAGAAAAATATATTTTAATATAAAATAGGAAATACAAAATGTAAAAATGGATATAACAAGGTATATTTATTTACATGAATTACAAATTTAGATTTTTATTATGACATGATGATAATATGTGACAAAAAATTACAAAGATTAACAAATCTACAAAAACAAGTAACAATTGCATAAAATAACATATAAAGCCCAAAAAATGCTATTGCCACCCTGTTGGGGCACTACCCACAAGGGTAGGATCGAATTTACCCTTGTTTTGTTAAAGATTTTAAGTGAGTACCCAAGAGCGCTTGGATGAGATGACTTGGGTCTCTTCCAGCTTAACCAGTGGTCTCGAGTTCGAGTCCTGGGAATGCAGCAGTGTTAAAACTCTTTAGGGAGAGCTTTGCCGCCCTTGTGGTCCTACCCGGCTCGATTCCGGATTAGTCGGTTCCCCTGTGAATCCGGAAATCGGAAGGTCCCTGTACCAAAAAAAAAAAAAAAAAAA